AACCTGTTCTTCCTCCCACCTATCCCCTCCTCCCACCTCAAGCCGCACCTCCATCTCCTACCGACCAACCTCATCCCGCCCCCTTGACCTGTCCGTCCTCCCTGGACTGACCTATCCCCTTCCTAACTCCCTACCTACACTCACCTTTCCTGGCCCCATCCCCGCCTCTTCGACCTGTTTGTTTCCTCTCCACCTATCCTCTCCTCTATCCCTCTTCTATCCGCCTCCCACTCTCTCCCTATTTATTTCAAAACCCCCTTCCCCTCCCCCTTTTCTGATGAAGGGTCGAGGCCCGAAACGTCAGCCTCTCTGCTCCTATGATGCTGCTTGGCCTGCTGTGTTCATCCAGCCCTGCACCTTGTTGTCTCTAGACCCGAAACGTCAGCTTTCCTGGTCCTCTGATGCTGCTTGGCCTGCTGTGTTCATCCAGCTGTACACCTTGTTAGCTCAGAGTAGTGCAGAATGGTCAGTGGGATGGGTGGGGTGGATAGGCAGGAGAGAAGATGGACAGGTTGTGTTGGGTCAAGGAGGTGGGGATGAGAGGGAGGGTTGGACATGGGATGAGGCTGGGGGTGGGAAGATTTTAAAACTGGACTGCAATTTCCCCCCTCCAGTGATCAAAAATGCCCTCAACTGCATCTCTTGCATTTTCCGCACTACTTCCCTCAAACTCCCTCGCCCAACAAAAATAAAGACTGAATCCCCTGGTCTCCTCGTATATCATCCCACCAACGCCGCATCCAGTGTATCGTTCTCTGCCACCTACAATCCGACCCCATGACGAGAGAGATATTTTCCTCCCCACCCCATCTGCCTTTGATAGGGACCGTCTGCTCCACACTCCCCACTAACCCCACTACACCTGACACCTTTTCCTGCAATCACAGGAAGTGCTACAACTGCCGAATACAGCTCCGCCCCTTCCCCCCCCCCCCACCGACCCCCTCACCTCTATTCAAAGCCCAAAGCAAACCTTTCATATCAGACGGGTTCACCTGTACATCTGCCAACTACAGTATCCGTTGCTCCCGATGTGGCCTTCTCTACATCGGTGAGCCCAAGCACAAACTCCGAGACCGTTTCGTCGAGCATCTGTGCTCTGTACGTGACAAACGACCACTCCTTCTGATTGCCAACTGCTTTAACTCCCCCTCCCACTTCCTGGATGTCATCCTGAGCTTCCTCCAGTGTCATAACGGCACCACATGCAAATTGGAGAAGCAACACCCCGTGATCCGCCTCAGGAGCCTACAGCCCGATGGCCTAAACATAGAGTTCATCAGTTTTAAAATCTCCCCAACCCCCGCCTCATCCTATGTCCAACCCTCCCTGTCACCCTGACCTCCTTGACCTGACACAACTTGTCCATCTTCTTTCCCACCTATCCACCCCACCCATCCCACTAACCAATACCCACCACTCCATACCTGAATTCACCTATGCCACTTACCTTCCCAAACCCCAGCCCTCCTCTCTCTATTTATTTCCCAGTACCCCCCACCCCCCCCTCCCCATTTCTGAAGAAGGGTCCTGACCTGAAACGTCAACTTTCCTGCTCCTCTGATGCTGCCTGGCCTGCTGAGCTCCTCCAACTCCATACTGTATTGTACAAGAAGTTATGCACTGTTGCACTTCACTTGAGCAGACTGCTATGCTGTTGCCATATTGCTGGGTCATTACTTGGGCTTGTTTCATCTCACAGCTTACATCAACCTTCCTTAGTGACTAGCAAAGGTTCAGTAGCAAGAAACCAGTCTCATAACTGGCCTCATACAAAAGCAAAATGCTGCTGGTGCTATAAATCTGAAATACAAACAGAAAATACTCAGCATGTCAGGCAGCATCCGTGGAGATAAGGAGTTAATGTTTCCAACTGCCGGCCCTTCTTCACAACTGATTTGTACATAACTGAAGCACTAGCACTCATCCTTTTGGCAGTCAACTAGTTGCAAATTGCCAACCTTAAAATGATCCAGTGGTGCAGATTGGCTAACTTAGAGCAAACAATCATCTCTCCATGCTAATATATTACTGTCAGCAACATGAGCTCTTATCTTGCACAGTAAACTTTATAGCACCTTATCAAATGCCTTTTGGAAAACAAATAATCTACTGGTACCTCTTTATTTCTCTGCTCATTCTGTCTTCAAATAACTTTGTCAAGTATAATTTTTCTTTCATGAAACCATTGTGCTTGTGCATGTTATTTTTTTTCTAAATATGTTATCATTTGCTCAATAGTGAACTGCAGCAATTTGTCAATGGCAGATGTTAGGCTAACTGGTCTTTACGCTTTTCATCTTTCTCACTTGAACATTGTGTTACATTTTCAGACTTCCAACGCCATAGATGTTTCTACCTCTAAGACCCTTAAGTACAGACAAACAGGACTTGTCATTTGCTGGCCTGACTAATTTGCTTGCTGCTTTTATGTGATTGTTTAAAGTTCCCTCCCCTATTGTTGGAATGTTTCGCCTTATACATTGCAGACAGAAAATATTTGACAAAGCTCTCTGCTTTCCTTACTTCCTGTTATTAAATCTCAGTCTCATCTTCTAAGAAACCAAAATTTACTTCAGCTAACCCCTTCCTTTCATACTTCTAGAAACTCTTACTGCCTGTTTATATATATTTCTTGCTAGACGGCTCTCATGCATTTTCTATCTGTGTTTTTAGAAACCAGGTTTTATCTTTTGTTGCCATCCTGTGCTATGAGGAGTATGAATATGGCTGTGTTTTTATTTGTAGATACTTAAAAAGCTATCTTTTAAGCTATACTTAAAAGGTTGCTTGGTGATTTACCGAACTGGAGCTCCCTAAGGGGAGTGAAGTCGACATACCAAGAACAATACCACTGAGGCAGCTTTGACTAACCGGGAAAGGTATTTTAGCTGATCTTGGCCCAACATAAGATGTTTCAAAATGCTGCTGAATTCTTGGAATTAAAGTAATCAACGTAGCATCTTGCCATATAGTAATCTGTTGTTGTGCACCAGAAATGTTGGCTTTATATAAGCTGTTGCATTTATAAATTTATGCATTCATTCTTTACATCTAACAGAAGTTGGAAAATGAAAATATTAACATTCTGGTATTACCTTTTGTTAATAAAGTATGATATAGGGTGTGTAATTTATAGATACTTTAATATAGTTTATTTTTGAGTTGGATTTTTGGTTTAGGCATTTCATGGTTAACTTGTAAGTATTTCTGTAGCCATGGTGATTTCTTTAAAAACAGTTTGAGAGAGAGAACTTCACAGCTGATGAATTTTTGTTAACATTGAAAGCGTTCATGAATGAACAATGTACATAGTATAAGGCTTTCTGTTGGAAGATTCGAGATTTGGTTTTTAAGTTGAGAGGGGAATATTTATTATGTGGATAGAAATTTTTCAGTCTTACTTTGTATTTGGGGCAGTTCTGTAGCATTTTACGCTTAAGGGGCGTTGGTTTAGCTCAGTTGGCTGGATGGTTGGTTTGCAATGTAGATTGATGCAAAGAGCTTAGGTTCAATTCCTGCACTGGCTGAAGTCACCATAAAAGATGCTCCTTCTGAACCTCTCCCCTCCCCTAGAGGTGTGATGACTCTTGCTTAAACAGCAACCATTTGTGTCTGTTAATTGAGAGAGCTCCCCCTATAGGCCTTACCAGACAATGGCAACTTTCACTGAAGATACATGTGTAAAGCAGTTGCTGCTGAGAAGGGGAAAAGATATGTAAGTGGTTACATAAAACAAGTAACTGAGATAATTATATCCAGTCCTTCATAACCAGTGTATATGGGGTATAGGTGCTAATTATAACTTCATAATTCATATACAAAGGCCTCCCACCAGGATCCGGGAGTTTCTTTCACTGCTAATCGCTTATTCAACCAACAACACCGGAACACTCCCCAAGGAGCCTCAATAAATATATTTACAATATGTAATTATACCCTTTGAACATTATATTAGCACACTTAAATTCCATTTAGTTGACTTTCTTTTAACAAATATGTAGGTTGAAATTGTCATTAATGCAGATGGGATGATGGTAAAGAGGATAGGTAAATGGAAGGTGAATGTTTCGATGATACATTTAAGCCCTAATTTTATGCCAATTAAATGCTGACTTGAAACATGATTTGGCTTGGTCCATATGATGCAAATTTTACTAATTTGGAACGAATGTTTGACAGTTTGTCGTCAGTTCGTGAGTCATTCAGCTTTTGGTCTTTTTTTTCATAATCATTGTGGTCAATGATGTTTTAGGAAGGGGAAAAAATGACTGAATTAAGTATAGAACTGTCAACAGCAGGCAAATTTTATGATTTGAGTTTACCATTCATACCAAAAATATGGTAGATCAAAACACTTGAGTGGGAGTTTGAAAAGAAGATCAGGGAGGTGATCAAAAATGTGTGGTTGCAGGAATACACTCTGACGAAGATTTTGAAAATTGGGGTTGGATACAGCAATGCAGAATGCTTTGAGAAATCTATTTCAGAATTTAAGGGAGTGCTGAAGGAACGGTCTGCTGGTTGAAGTAGAAAGGAAGGAAAGAATACTGGAGTTCTGGTGGATGGTACTCCATTGCCGATACAAGTTTTCAGGGGCAGAGTGAGATGAGAAAACACAAGACTTAATGAAGGAAGACTGGGAGACAGTAATCTTGAGGGTGATAGAGGCAGTCGACACAGTAAAAGCCTAAGCTTTGGGTAGTGGCATTCTGGAGTAGTCAAATAATGGAGACTTAAAAGAAGCTAATCCTTGATGTCAGAGATGTTTGAGGGTTTTGTGATGCAGCTGAAAAAAGATGGATGTCAATATTTTTGGCAAACCACCTAAATGTGTAATTTAAAGCTGAGCTGTATGTCAAATCGGCCACCAACTCAAGAAAGCAGGGAAAGGGGATAGACCCTTGGTGCCAGATTTTGGGCAATTTTGTCTCGCTGGTAAAGAGCGGGCAAAACATTTTAGTTCATTGACAGGCAGTGAACAAGTAGTTGTTAAGCAAAAGCAGAGGGCCAGTCTGGCCTCCCACAAGATTTTAACCAATCTTTGTTGGAACACTTTGTCAGGAAGATGTTATGTCTGGGTGACACAGCCTCATATTTGAGGCTGCTTCTGGCTTTACTGTTTACACAAAGTATATGAACTAACCACATGCTGACCAACTCAGATGTTCAGCTTCTGATCCATCCTGTTATGCAAGGGCAGTAAGTCAATTTAGCCCTCTTTCTCCTGCCATATTGTGAATTAGTAAGACTTTTCAAGCAGCCTTTGGACAGCTATCTCCCTGTCATAAAGATTAATCGGATATAGATTCATCCAATATAGATTGAAATTCACAAATCTTATTTGGTCATAATTAACATAATGTCAGTAGTTTTTGGTTTGTGATAATCCCACAGGCAGCAGAATGGATGAGCAGATCATGGTACAGGGAGCTATTCAAGTGAGGGCAGTAAATGCACATGTAGGTGACTGTTTGGTCAGGGGACAGACACAGTGCTTTGCAGTTGCGATGAGAGTTCGGAGGCTGTGTTGCCCTCCTGGAGCTAACGTTGGAGACGCTTGCTTGGGACTGGCAAAGAACTTGTAGTGTGATGGAAAGGATCCTTTTGTCATTGGTATCCTACATGGGTACCAATGATACAGACTAGGAAGGAGACTCTGGTTGCAGATTATGTGGAACTAATGGTTAAATTAAGAAAATAAAATATTAGAAGTAATAATTTTTTGATTGCCACCTGTCCACGAGCAAATTGGCGTAGGGCAAAAAAAGATTTGTTTATGTATGTCTCAAAGAATCATGTGGAAGAAATGGATTCTATTTCATGGGGCATTTGCACCAGCACTGGAGAAAGTGAAAGCTGGACTATTAGGACAGTCTTCAGCTGAATTGGCAGAGAGGTCAATGAACTACAATACTGGGAGTGAGGTATCATGTGGGGAGAGATGAGGTAAATTAAAGAGAGGGGATAAAGCAGTAGAACAAGCTAGCACGAGAGCTAATGATAACCAGAATGTGGCAGGAACAGACTGTATGAGTGTGTACACAAGTTAAAGGGAAAGGGTACTTAAAATACTCACTAAGAAAAACGCATTGGGAAGATTTTTACAAGACGCAGACATGGTGAGTTACATCCGAGGGCCTTAAAACAGAGTGGTAGTGAAGAAGGCAGGTGCATTGGTCATGGTCTTCTGGTCTCAGTGGATTGGAAAATCACTAATGCAGCACTTCTTTTTGGGAAAGGTGGGATACGGGAAGCTGGAACCTATAGGCCAGTTAGCCTATCTGTAAGAGAGAAACTGCTGGAAAATTTTATTATGGAAATAACAGGACATTTAGAAGATAATGGGATCAGGCAGCATCAACATAGTTTTATGAAAGGGAGATCAACCTTGACTAATTTATTAGTTATCTTGAAGTAATAAGCACATTGGATAAGGGAACCTGAAATTTCCAGAAGGTATTCTACGGAGTGCCACATAGTAGGTCACTACATGTAGATGCATTACAGGGCCTATGTTTGGGGCCTCAACTATTTACAATTGTAACAATACATTGGATGAAAGGGCAAATAATGTGGTAGCTAAATTTGTTGCTAACACAAAGATAGGAAAATAAGTTGTGAATAGGCATGAAGAGTCAACAAAGGAAAAAATGTTATGAATACTTGAGAATTTGGCAGAGTATAATGTGTGAAATGTGAAATTGTCCAGTTTGGCAGGAAGAATAGAACAGTGTTAATTGAATGGATGAGAAGAGCAAAACCGTACTGTAGAGAGGGATCTGGATGTTCTGGTACATGAATTGCAGCTATTAGTGTACAAATACAGCAAGTGATTAGGAAAAGGATTTTTGTTTAGGGAATATTTTAAAACAAAAGGGAGTGTTAATTGCTGTTGGGCCCATATGAGACTGAATCTGAAGAACGGTGTGCAGTGTTGGCCTCTTTACTTAAGGTCATTCATCTATTAGGACCAGTTCAGAGAATGTTGCCCGGAGCGCTTTCAAGGATGACAGGTTATTTTACGGGGAAAAGTTCAGCGAATTTGAATTAAATCCATTGATATCTCGAAAAGGAAGAAGTAATCTTTTTGAAGCGTACAAGATCCTAAGGGGACTTGACAGTGTAGCAGTACACCTTATGGGTGGCTGTAGTGCCAGGGGTTCACTGTTTGAAAATTAGGCGTTTCCCATTTCAGACTGAGGTAAGAAGAATTTTATTCTGAGGATGATTGATCTGTGAAATTCTCTTCACCCAAGAGAGGTCTTTGAATATGTTCAGAGCCTAAGTTCGATGAATTTTTGATTGACAAGGAGTTGAGAATTATGAGAGACAGACAAGAAAGTGCAGTTACTACCACAATCAGGATTTATCAATTGATGGAGCAGACTTCAAGGGCAAAAATTACATCTGCTTATACATTTTTGTGTGCCAAAAAGTGCATTTGGCATAGTTCAGCTTATTTCTTTTACCAAGTTTTAATACATTATTTTAAGGTGCTACCCTAACAAGATTATGGGAAAAGTCAGAAAATTGTTCTTGGGAGTGATGTAATATTTCTGAATGTGCGTAAATAATGCACATTCAGGACACCATTTGTTCTTTCGCAGACAGTATCAAAATAGCTAATCAGTGACAAAAGAATGAGTGCTGTGCTCAAATATTCTGGCACTGTTATATTACAGTACAAAAATCCATATCATGTTGTAATTTCAAATAGCGTACGTTCTTAACACTCAGTTTCCAAGTGCTGCAGGATAGAACTAGCTGCTCTTCTCATTTCAAATTGATCTTTCCAATCAGTAAAATGAATTCAATGGGGAGAAGTATAGACTTGGGAATTTTCTGATGAACATTTAATTGTTTCCAATATAAAGATAGGGGTTGCGCATGAGATCCTGGGAATCCCTGACGTAATAGACTCTGGGAATTGAAGAGTCCGATGGGCAATTTCCCTGTGCCTAGAAGCCTCAGAGTATCCACTTACATCAGAGGCTCCACGACAGTTAATTAAGCAGTTATTCAGGAAAAGTTAGATAATTTAAAAATCTTGACTACCTCATGATTATTAAACTGGATCAATTTAGCATATGTCTGCAATTACACCTCTGCCCTTAGGACTTGACCCTTCCTTTACCGCCCCTGCTGGGACTGACCACACCTCCTGCTCAACAGACTTTCCCAACACACCCCCTCTCCACCTGTCCGCTGGACCTGAAAAGTTCCTATTGCTGGGAATTTAGAGTATAGATGCATAAATAGTAGAGATGTTTATTTCAATTCTATAGATCAATCTATTTATTTTAAATAAAAATGTTCTAAATCTGAAACGTCTGAAAATTCATTACCTACTTTGCTGGGTAGAAAAGCTTCATTGACCACTGCCATATTTAATGTTTAATCAAAACCATCCATTTGTCATTTCTTAGTAATGTGCCAGATATGTAGCCAAGTAGCTGCTCAGCTGTTTGCAATTTCTGCATAGCAAGTCATCAAGTAATTGACTACTTCCTAAACGCCAGTCGAAGATATGATTATTTTTGTCTGAGTCTTCACATTATAATACTTCTAATAAAAGTGTACAAAGTTTATTTTTGAAAAATCATCTATTGAGATCTATAGGACAGTTGGGCCTTTGTCAGCCTGAATTTGCTGAGCTTGTTATTTCTTGGTTTCCTGGCATGACATTGCAAAGGATTGCGGCTTGGATCCAAGGGATATGCTTCACTGGTGGCAATTAAAATCCTCGTTGGGGAGGATATGTTGCTAACTCCCAACATGCCCTTAAACAGATGAGAATGCAGCAGCATGCTTTCAAATTACCATAGCTGTCTAACTGCTGATTCCTTTCACTATCCACCGGACTTGGATTTTTCTGAGGTTGCAGAACTATCAACTCTACTGCAAGAGCAGTTTTCAATGACAGTAGCTTCTGATCCAACAGAGTCAATTGGGTTTTCTTTTTTGTGTGTGAAGGGCCTGAATCAGACCACGGTAGGATCATCATATAGTCATTTAAGAATAGAAATTATGCAATTCAGTGCATCAGCCTGTAAGACTATTTTGAAGTGACTACTTTTTGAATTAGAAAGATCAGTTAGAACATTATTTTGAAAAACAGCTCCATGTATGATGTTGAATTATAATTTTGACTTGTGATTGACTGAAATTATTTATTTTTCAGGGTACGATTGATTTCTCAAATTAGAAAACGTGACAGATCTCCTTTAGAGGTATGCACTTCAATTCTGCTTAATGATAATGAAAAATAATTGCTACATCATTCACTACCAGTTAAAACTGAAGTGTTATTTATTTATTCATTTTGTATTTAACGGTGAACATATCTGATTGCATTTTCAAATCTGGCAGCCTATATTTTTAAGATAAGCAAAACTAATTGACATTATTTGGCAATTTCACGCATTTGCTGTCACTGCAAAACCAAACGGGATATTGTATGGTTAACTAAATACTGTGAGCAGATTGCAAAGTGATATTTTTCCCCTATGTAAATATTTTAAACATCTTTTAAAACTGTAATGTTATCTCCATCATTCAGTGGAGAAATTATATTGTGAAATGACTTGTTTCAATTTGCTTAATGCAATTTTGTGTCTGAAGTCTGAAACCATCAACTGTATTAGATTGCTTGCGTCAGAAAGGTCTTGTTTTGCCTAAATGCGCAACATTTTACTTCCCATTAATTTCCATGCATCAGTTGAAGCCTCTTGAAAGTTCTTTTCTGTAATTTCTATAAGTCCTGGTTTTTACTTGTTTGTGCTGAATTGTAATGGTTGTATATTTTTCCAATTTCATCCCCTAATGTTTTTGTTGTGGCTTATGATCTACTTACCTCCACCCATTCAAAGTATCCTCTTACTTTTCAAATACAATTGTTCCTCTGATTTGCAGCATTGCACGTTTAAGTGAGAGCAGAATTAAGTTGTGGTCTTGACATTTGACACTGACAGCATTCACCAGTTAAAACTGAAGTGTTATTTATTTATTCATTTTGTATTTAACGGTGAACATATCTGATTGCATTTTCAAATCTGGCAGCCTATTTTAGAAGATTACAATATTTGAGGAGAAGGATTACTTGAAACTCTACCATTTGATCAATCAACGTATTTAGAAGGGGGCAGAAAAGTAGGGATTGGAAATGAAATTTTGTACGAATAGATTTCGCTGCATGTAATAATGTGTAGACTTAAACTTTTGTCATACTCTAAACAAAACACCAAAAGAACTGTGGACACTGGAAATTGAAGGAAAAGCTTTGCAGACCTGGCAGCATCTCTGGAGAGAAAATCAGAGTTAACATTTTTGTGTTCAGTGACCCTTCTTCAGAGCAGCTCATAGGATCATAGAATCCCTTACAGTATGAAAACAGGCCATTCAGCCTATCATGTCCACACCGACCCTCCAAAGAGCATCCCACTAGACCCACCCCTGTACCCTGTCCCTATAACCCTACATTTCCCATGGCTAATCCACCTAGTCTGCATTTCCCTGGACACTATGGGCAATTTAACATGGCCAATCTACCAGTCCATCTTTGGACTGTGGGAGGAAACCCCACAGACATGGGGAGAATGTGCTCACTCCACACAGACAGTTGTTTGAGAATGGAATCAAACCTGGGTCCCTGGTGCTGTGAGGCAGTAACCACTGAGTCACCATTCTGCCCCAAACCCTGAAGAAAGGGTTTGAAGAACAAATGAAAAGGTTTGTGACAGGGTGAATATGAAAGGATTTTGAAATACATTGCCATCCAACTCACTGACCAGGACAGCAGTATTGATAGCTGGTACTTGACCTCTACATTTTGCAGAGGCAAAATACCAACTCTGCACTTCTGCTTATCCTTTCCTGAGCCATGACCCCACAACTGAATATCAAGCCATTGCTTTCAGTAGAGTCATGGAGCTCATAACTTCTAGTGATCTTTCTTCCACTACCTCCAATGTCATAGCTCCTAATTCCTATATGGCTCATGTCTACCCCTTGCCCAAGATCTATAATCAAGACTGTCTTAGTCAACCCATTGTTTTAGCCTGTTTCTGCCCTGCTATTTCTTCCTATCTTGACTCCATTTATTTCTCCACTTGTACAGACTGTTCCTCCACAACTCTTCTGATGCCTTATGTCATTTCAACAGTTTTCCAATCTCTTGGTACTAACCATCACCTCTTCAGTATTGATACCTAATCCGTCAATGCCTGTAACCCCACAAGGACAGTCTCTGCTTCTTCCTTGAGCATAAGCCCAACCAGACCTCATCTACTACCATCCTCCTTTACTTGACTCCGCTTGTCCCTACTCTGAGTAACAACTCCTTCAATTCCACTCGCTTCTTCCAAATAAAATACCTGTACATGTGCCAGTAGCAGCTGTTTTATGGCATATGCAGAGCATCCATTATTTCGGTCTTATTCTGGTACCTTCCCGCACCTCCCTTTCTGGCATATTGATACATTTGTTAGTACTGCCTTCTACTCAAACTGTGAACAAAACATTTTGGTGACTTTACTTCCAAACATGTTCCCTTCCCTTCCTCAATTTTTCTGTCTCCATTTCTGGAGAGAGCTATCTAATAATGTTCACTGCAAACCCATACATTCCTACTGCTATCTAAACAACAATTCCTCGTAATTTGCATCCTTGTAAGGACCCCATTCCCATCTTTCCTTGTTCATCTTTCCTTGTTCATCTTTCCTTGTTCATCTTTCCTTGTTCATCTTTCCTTGTTCATCTTTCCTTGTTCATCTTTCCTTGTTCATCTTTCCTTGATAGGTTCTGATGATGCATGCTTCTAGACTAGTGCATTGATGCTTTTTTCTTTTACTGACAATTCCCATTCAAGGTGGTGGACAGGGCCAAGAATACATATGAGCCTGGTTGAGAGCCCAAAAATTCATTGGCCTCTTGGAAACACGGAGCCCCTGCTTGATTGACAGCTCTGGGCTCTCTGATATCTACTATCAATTTCAAAATGTTATTTACACAAAGTTTAGTGCTCTTGCAAATTCAGCTATTGAAACCTCAATGTCTTTGAATAATTGACACTCCTGGGTTATAGTTAAAAGTTTCTTTTGAACATAATGGCAAATTATCAATGAATGACTGTTTGTATGTTTTATTGTACACACCCAACCACCACAATACAGATTTTTCTTTGATACTGCGTGTGGATGAATGGTCGTGGAAGTACTGTAGTGGAGCATGAGGGGCCATGAGTAAGTAGGTGGGTGGTGAAACATAGTTGGCATGTTAGTGGTTGAAGAGTCACCATCTGGCATGGGGAGTGGGAGAAAGCATGAGGAAGACCTTTTGAACTTACCTTTCAGGAGGTTCCCCCACACAGACCAGGGGTTACTGAACTTCTGAGGTGCTGAGACCTATGACTGTTTAAATCTGGCCGGATTCCACAAAAAATTGAGGAAGGGTGGACCATGTCTAATGCTGCAATGGAACTGGCCTTGTCCAGCATCAAGGGTATGAGAGCTTGTGACTTCGTAGACTGGTGAAAATTGGAAAATCTAGGAATGGGGTCAGGAACTCTGGAAATTGGACTTGCCCACCATTTTTAGATCATTTGCAAGTCATCCTTACTCAGCACATCCAGTCCTTGATTCTGGTAGGTTAATTTGCCAAAAGAATACCTACAAGAATATACATGCTCTGATATTTTTTTAATCGAAAAAGGGAAGGGACCATTTTTAACCTCTCTGAAAAATTCCAGATATAAACCCTTTAGTTCTGTGATGGTGACTTATTTTCACACAAGAAAATAAATTAAGAACAGAAGACTAAAATTGAAATGTGAGCCCCTGTGCATCTCTCTTGCAACTAATCAATAAGTTGTTTTTTAAAGATTTCTTGTTAGCTTATAAAACAGAGCACAGTGCTGAGCAAGATTATTTATCTAGTTCCCATCAAAGTGCTATGACATTGATCTGGGATGATTTTTTCATGGGTAAGTGCTGAAGCTTGTTGAATGTGTTTTAATTATAAATGTAGCTATCTGATACATTGGTAATATTACAATAAGTGGCATTCTTTCCCTTGTTTTGATGGCCTGTAGGAAGTTGATGCTCGTACTTTTATCTGGATGTCTAAACTCCCTGGAGTTCATACAGGAAACATACAACAGCATTACTGAACGTAGTGGCTTCCTGTCCAATAATGCTTGTTTCTTTCTTTGAATTCTGACATTTGTTAGTGTTTTGTTGATATCTGGCTGCATGTAAACTCCAGGCAATGGTAAGCGCTGCCACTTTCACTAAATATGTACTTGCGGGAATAAAAATAGTCAAATGCCAGTCCATCATTTAGTTGTAAAAACTTAAAAATTGTTCACAAGTGAAATTTCATGGCCTGAATTCACCAAAAGGTTAATCTTAAATATCTGTGTATCATCATATTAGCATATTCATTGCTCAGTGTCCCTGTATATACGAGTACTATCTAATTTGCAATATATATGATCTGATATTGGATAAATATTCCCCTCTGCAATTCAAGGACAGTGGCAACTTTTAATTTTGATGTGCCTAACATGAAGGGCACATGAAGTGGAGCTGGTAAAATTTAGTGCTTCAAATTGGTGCTCAGCAGCCAAGACACTTCTTTCTTCAACACTGCTATAGCAGTGAATTATGGAAAAATCTTAAATGTTTCTACCACGTCCCTTTTTTTTCTAGATTATGAGTCCGTTAAAAATGAGTTAGATTTTGTTTTAACCTTGATGCTATTTCCAGTTGAGTTCGGATACAATCCCATGGATGTGAAATGCCCTCTGTTACCACAGCCAAAAGTTGGCTTTGTGTATTTGCAAACTGTTCCATTATGGGATGGGAGAACTTTAATGTAAAATCTACACTTCTGTGTATTTCAGGAAGAGTTCATGGGAAATTTGGTTGACCTTTATTGTAAACTCTCCCTAGTCTACTAGGAAGGTTATTCACAGTAACTTTCCTGCTGTTTTAGCTGAAAAGAACTAACTTGCAAAAACTAAGAAGTGAACTGGATTTGTCAGAGTCAGTGCTGTACTAAGGTGGTATCTTTAGTGACTGAATCATTGTGCAGCTCATATTTTATAATATCTTCTGTGATCTATGTTGAATTAGGCATGTAGTTACATCTCTGCAATGCAATTTTGGATGCTGTGGAAGAGGTGTATTGCATTAAGCGTTATTCTTTAAAGACATTGTTTCCAGTCACCTTT